TTAGAGTGAAATAGAGGGGAGAGAGAGAATAAAAGAGTTTGAAGAGTGGAAAGAGAGGGAGGAATGAGAGAGAGAGTGATGAAAGAGTACAGGTAACAAAGAGCAGTGGTGAAAAAGAATAAACAATAAAGAAGTCGACAAAAAACTAAAAGAAATATGAATGAAGAAGAGGAGAAATGTGTAAAAAATAAAATAAGTTAAATAAAAAGAATTGATCAAGAGTTGGGGGAGATTAAAAAAGGGAGGAATGGTTGGAAAGAAGGGGAAAAGACTGAAACAATGGAAAAGATGGGGAAAGACTGAAAATAGTGAAAGGCAAGAAAAGACTGAAAAAGGGTGGAAGAAAGGAAGAGACTGAAACACTGGAATAGAGGGGGAAAAGACTGAAAAAGGGTGGAAGAAAGAAAGAGACTGAAACAGTGGAAAAGAGGGGGAAAAGACGGAAAAAGGGTGGAAGAAAGAAAGAGACTGAAACAGTGGAAAGGAGGGGGAAAAGACGGAAAAAGGGTGGAAGAAAGGAAGAGACTGAAACAGTGGAAAAGAGGGGGAAAGACTGAAAGGGGGTGGAAGAAAGGAAGAGACTGAAACAGTGGAAAAGAGGGGGAAAAGACGGAAAAAGGGTGGAAGAAAGAAAGAGACTGAAACAGTGGAAAGGAGGGGGAAAAGACTGAAAAAGGGTGGAAGAAAGGAAGAGACTGAAACAGTGGAAAAGAGGGGGAAAGACTGAAAAGGGGTGGAAGAAAGGAAGAGACTGAATCAGTGGAAGAGAGGGGGAAAAGACTGAAAAAGGGTGGAAGAAAGAAAGAGACTGAAACAGTGGAAAAGAGGGGGAAAAGACGGAAATAGGGTGGAAGAAAGAAAGAGACTGAAACAGTGGAAAAGAGGGGGAAAAGACGGAAAAAGGGTGGAAGAAAGAAAGAGACTGAAACAGTGGAAGAGAGGGGGGAAAGACTGAAAAAGGGTGGAAGAAAGAAAGAGACTGAAACAGTGGAAAAGGGGGAAAAAGACGGAAAAAAGGGTGGAAGAAAGAAAGGGACTGAAACAGTGGAAGAAAGGAAGAGACTGAAACAGTGGAAAAGAGGGGAAAGATTGAAAAAGGGTGGAAGAAAAGAAAGGGACTGAAACAGTGGAAAAGAGGGGGAAAGACGGAAAAAGGGTTGAAGAAAGGAAGAGACTGAAACAGTGGAAAAGAGGGGGAAAGATTGAAAAAGGGTGGAAGAAAGAAAGGGACTGAAACAGTGGAAAAGAGGGGGAAAAAAAGGAAAAAGGGTGGAAGAAAGGAAGAGACTGAAACAGTGGAATAGAGGGGGAAAGATTGAAAAAGGGTGGAAGAAAGAAAGGGACTGAAACAGTGGAAAAGAGGGGGAAAAGACGGAAAAAGGGTGGAAGAAAGGAAGAGACTGAAACAGTGGAAAAGAGGGGGAAAGATTGAAAAAGGGTGGAAGAAAGAAAGGGACTGAAACAGTGGAAAAGAGGGGAAAAGACGGAAAAAAGGGTGGAAGAAAGGAAGAGACTGAAACAGTGGAAAAGAGGGGGAAAGATTGAAAAAGGGTGGAAGAAAGAAAGGGACTGAAACAGTGGAAAAGAGGGGGAAAGACTGAAAGGGGTGGAAGAAAGGAAGAGACTGAATCAGTGGAAGAGAGGGGGAAAAGACTGAAAAAGGGTGGAAGAAAGAAAGAGACTGAAACAGTGGAAAAGAGGGGGAAAAGACGGAAATAGGGTGGAAGAAAGAAAGAGACTGAAACAGTGGAAAAGAGGGGAAAAAAGACGGAAAAAGGGTGGAAGAAAGAAAGAGACTGAAACAGTGGAAGAGAGGGGGGAAAGACTGAAAAAGGGTGGAAGAAAGAAAGAGACTGAAACAGTGGAAAAGAGGGGGAAAAGACGGAAAAAGGGTGGAAGAAAGAAAGGGACTGAAACAGTGGAAGAAAGGAAGAGACTGAAACAGTGGAAAAGAGGGGGAAAGATTGAAAAAGGGTGGAAGAAAGAAAGGGACTGAAACAGTGGAAAAGAGGGGGAAAAGACGGAAAAAGGGTGGAAGAAAGGAAGAGACTGAAACAGTGGAAAAGAGGGGGAAAGATTGAAAAAGGGTGGAAGAAAGAAAGGGACTGAAACAGTGGAAAAGAGGGGAAAAAGGAAAAGGGGAAGAAAGGAAGAGGAAACAGTGGAATAGAGGGAAAAAGATTGGAAAAGGTGGAAGAAAGAAAGGGACTGAAACAGTGGAAAAGAGGGGGAAAAGATTGAAAAAAGGGTGGAAGAAAGAAAGGGACTGAAACAGTGGAAAAAGAGGGGAAAAGACGGAAAAGGGTGGAAGAAAGAAAAGAGACTGAAACAGTGGAAAAGACCGAAAAACCGGAAAAGGGTGGAAGAAAGAAAGAGACTGAAACAGTGGAAAAAGGGGAAAAAGACGGAAAAGGGTGGAAGAAAGAAAGAGACTGAAACAGTGGAAAAGGGGAAAAGACTGAAAAAAGGGTGGAAGAAAGGAAGAGACTGAAACAGTGGAAAAGAGGGGTTAAGACTGAAAAAGGGTGGAAGAAAGGAAGAGACTGAAACAGTGGAAAGAGGGGGAAAAGACTGAAAAAAGGGTGGAAGAAAGGAAGAGATTGAAACAGTGGAAAAGGGGGGAAAAGACGGAAAAAGGGTGGAAGAAAGAAAGAGACTGAAACAGTGGAAAAAGGGGAAAAAGACTGAAAAAGGTGGGAAAGAAAGGACTGAAACAGTGGAAAAAAAAGGGTGGAAGAAAGGAAGGGACTGAAACAGTGGAAAAGAGGGGAAAAAGATTGAAAAAAGTGGAAGAAAGAAAGGGACTGAAACATTGGAAACGGAAAAAAGGGGGAATGAAGAGATTGAAATGAGTGGAAAAAAAATTGGGTGGAAGAAAGAAAGGGACTGAAACAGTGGAAAGAGGGGAAAAGACGGAAAAAGGGTGAAGAAAAGGAAGAGACTGAAACAGTGGAATAGAGGGGAAAAGATTGAAAAAGGGGGAAGAAAGAAAGGGACTGAAACAGTGGAAAAGAGGGGGAAAAAGACTGAAAAAGGGTGGAAGAAAGGAAGAGACTGAAACAGTGGAATAGAGGGGGAAAGACTGAAAAGGGTGGAAGAAAGAAAGGACTGAAACAGTGGAAAAGAGGGGAAAAGACGGAAAAAGGGTGGAAGAAAGGAAGAGACTGAAACAGTGGAAAAAGGGGAAAAGACTGAAAAAGGTGGAAGAAAGAAAGAGACTGAAACAGTGGAAGAGAGGGGGAAAAGACTGAAAAAGGGTGGAAGAAAGAAAGAGACTGAAACAGTGGAAAAGAGGGGGAAAAGACTGAAAAAGGGTGGAAGAAAGAAAGGGACTGAAACAGTGGAAAAGAGGGGGAAAAGACTGAAAAAGGGTGGAAGAGACTGAAACAGTGGAAAAGAGGGAGAAAAGACTGAAAAAAGATGAAAAGTGGAAATGTCTGAAAGATTGGGAAAGAGGAGCGAGAATGGGAAAAGGAAGAAAAGACTAAAAGAGCAGAAGAATGGAAAAGACTGAAAAAAAGGCAGGAAAATAATAAAGACTGGGATGAGTAGTTTTCATTATTTACAGACTAATATCCTCATCTTTGTTGTTATTATCACCTGATCACCTTCTGTCTGAATCTCTGGGATGAGGAGTTACCATAATTTACATTCAGACTAATATCCTCATCTTTGTTGTTATTATCACCTGATCGCCTTCTGTCTGAATTTCTGGGATGAGGAGTTACCATAATTTACATTCAGACTAATATCCTCATCTTTGTTGTTATTATCACCTGATCACCTTCTGCCTGAATCTCTGGGATGAGGAGTTACCATAATTTATATTCAGACTAATATCCTCATCTTTGTTGTTATTATCACCTGATCGCCTTCTGTCTGAATTTCTGGGATGAGGAGTTACCATAATTTACATTCAGACTAATATCCTCATCTTTGTTGTTATTATCACCTGATCACCTTCTGCCTGAATCTCTGGGATGAGGAGTTACCATAATTTACATTCAGACTAATATCCTCATCTTTGTTGTTATTATCACCTGATCGCCTTCTGTCTGAATTTCTGGGATGAGGAGTTACCATAATTTACATTCAGACTAATATCCTCATCTTTGTTGTTATTATCACCTGATCACCTTCTGCCTGAATCTCTGGGATGAGGAGTTACCATAATTTACATTCAGACTAATATCCTCATCTTTGTTGTTATTATCACCTGATCACCTTCTGCCTGAATCTCTGGGATGAGGAGTTACCATAATTTACATTCAGACTAATATCCTCATCTTTGTTGTTATTATCACCTGATCGCCTTCTGTCTGAATTTCTGGGATGAGGAGTTACCATAATTTACATTCAGACTAATATCCTCATCTTTGTTGTTGTTATCATCTGATCACCTTCTGTCTGAATCTCTGGGATGAGGAGTTATCATTATTTACATTCAGACTAATATCCTCATCTTTGTTGTTGTTATCATCTGATCATCTTCTGTCTGAATCTCTGGGATGAGGAGTTATCATTATTTACATTCAGACTAATATCCTCATTTTTGTTGTTATTATCACCTGATCGCCTTCTGTCTGAATTTCTGGGATGAGGAGTTACCATAATTTACATTCAGACTAATAGCCTCATCTTTGTTGTTGTTATCATCTGATCACCTTCTGTCTGAATCTCTGGGATGAGGAGTTATCATTATTTACATTCAGACTAATATCCTCATCTTTGTTGTTGTTATCATCTGATCACCTTCTGTCTGAATCTCTGGGATGAGGAGTTATCATTATTTACATTCAGACTAATATCCTCATCTTTGTTGTTGTTATCATCTGATCACCTTCTGTCTGAATTTCTAGGATTAAGAGTTATCATTATTTACATTGAAACTAATATCTTCATCATTGTTGCTGTTATCGCCTTCTGTCTGAATTTGCGAAAGAGTTCAGTCACACAATGGAAAAATAACTCCATGCTCGGAATGAGTCCTGTGCTGGTGTTACTTCTACAACATGCTAGCAGGAAAAGGGAAAGCAGGCATAGGAACAAGGTGGTTCTGTTTTTATAGGTGTTTAAAAGTGTGAGCTAACAGTATCTTGGTGAATCTGGCAAAGCTATGTGGGGGTAACTCACAAGGGAAATATACAAATGTAAATTTGTTTTAGCAAATACAGGTATACCTCACCCTTTTTCTTCTATGTGCCATGTCCTTTCAGAAGGTGTGAGATCATGGGCCTCCACAACCTCCTTTCCTTTACATTAGTAATGTTTTAGTTGCAATTCTCTTTTCATTTTCTAAACTTACTGACATGTAATGTTGAAAAACTGGTTTCTGTATGATCACTTAAGTTAAGCAATGTTGAACTCAGTCAGTACCTAGCTGTGTGATCACTTGGGAATATCAGGTGCTGTAAACTTGGATGTATGGGTGGTGTAATGGATAATGGTGCAGAATTATTACTCAGAGAGTCGAGTTCCAATTCCAGTTGGATTTATTTTATTCACTTTCAGGCAAATACTCTTGGGAAAGGTACAAATCCATTTATTCTCTTGTATCATTAAACCATTATTATCTCTAGAATAAAATTCTTACAATCTAAAAATATTTTCTGGCTTTAAATAACCTGCAAAGGGTTGATAAGCCATAAAAAAAGAATCCATCAATCAATCACTAAAAAAACAAATCCATCTCTTATCATTTCTCATTTATATTGTCATCAATCGCTAATAAACTTTTTTATTGTTAAACTTTTTATTATTTTGCACAAGAAATGATATTCAGAAGAAGGAGTGCATACCAAGGACATACAACAAAACTTGCAAAGAACTAATACTTGAGGAAAGTAAGTAGAAAGGATTGACATAATTGTAAGAAGATGAAATATATGGTTGTTAGCAAAAGGGACATCGCAAGATATGAGTTACACATCAGGGATGTCAAAATCAAACAAGTGTGTAAATTCAACTATTTGATGTGATGCCTCTTCAAGACATGTATGATCATGGGTCTCCACAACTTCCTTTTTCTTGCATCTCTCAGTAATGTTTCTCTTTTTACCATCCCTCTAACTCCTCGTTCTGCCATTCATTCACATAAGTTCATCAGGTCGCTGGCCCACTGTTACCGCCTTTCCATTTTGGCTTTGATATATCCTGTGAGCGTCAAGTTTTTCAAGGCTTCTTTCTTCGTTATGTGTCAGGGAAATTTAAAAAAACTCTTTCTTGAAGGGCCTGTCATATAATTGATCCTGATCTGGCACCTCGGCTTCCCTCTGTCTTTTCTACAAATATATTATGGCAACTGTTCTCATGAGTTTTTTCCTTTGTACCTCAACTACATGAATTTAACAGTGTTACTAGATTGGCAATTATGTCTCATTGTTTTACTGCAGAACTAGCTAGATACAACCACCACTTCTATTTTAACAGTTTCTTTTCTCACCTGTTGAACTCTCCTATTTCTTGCTTCACTGCCATTTACAATCTTCAAAAATTTAAATTACCATCATTTGTCTTCTTGAACCCTGTTACTTTGTCTTTCACTCACACTGCTCCTCGCTAAATTTTTCTCGTTCTCTTTCACTCCCTGTAACCTGCTGCATCCTAGTGGCAATATAACTTTGCTTGGGGTGAAATGATTAAAAAAGGAAAAGTATAAGCGTCCTATTTGTTTCCATTTTCTTTTAAGACTTCTTTGTTGTTTACATGCACTGTCCATGTTATCCTCAGCATCCTTCTGTAGAACCATATTTCTGGACTGACATTATGTAAAAGGTCAGCACTCTTTTATTTGTTTTTTGAGCCTGTTTTATTCTTTTACCTTGACTTTGCATTTTTCATTTCTTTATCATCTGATCTTTCCCCTCTTTCTCCTTCAACCTCTCTCATTCCACCTCTTTCTCCTCCTGACTCTCCCATTCCCCACTTTCTCCTCCTGACTCTCCCATTCCCTACTTTCTCCTCTTAACTCTCCCATTCCCTACTTTCTCCTCTTAACTCTCCCATTCCCCACTTTCTCCTCTTAACTCTCCCATTCCCCACTTTCTCCTCTTAACTCTTCCATTGCCCTCCTAATACTTCCATTTCTCTCTTTCTCTTTCTAACTCTTCTATTCTCCTCCTAACTCTCCCATTCCTCTCTTTCTCCTCCTGACTCTCCCATTCCCCACTTTCTCCTCTTAACTCTTCCATTGCCCTCCTAATACTTCCATTCTCTCTTTTTCTTTTAACTTTTTTCTATTCTCCTCCTAACTCTCCCATTCCTCTCTTTCTCCTCCTAACTCTCCCATTCCTCTCTTTCTCCTCCTAACTCTCCCATTCCTCTCTTTCTCCTCCTAACTCTCCCATTCCTCTCTTTCTCCTCCTAACTCTCCCATTCCTCTCTTTCTCCTCCTAACTCTCCCATTCTTCTCTTTCTCCTCCTAACACTTTCATTTCTCTCTTTCTTCTTCTACTGTTCCGCCATGTTTTTTTTACTTGGTTTTTCTTTTAAATTATTATCTCCCTTTCTCTATTATTTTAAATTGCTTGTTGCCCTTCTTCTTGAAGTTTTATTTTAATACTTTCAATCTCTGCAATGTAATAAAAGCCAATAAGATGCAAGTGATTACTGAGAGTGAAAGAAACAGAGAAGACAATAAAAAGATAGGTTTCAAGGAGACAGATGCTAAAAAAGAAGAAGTAAAACTAATTATAATGAAAGGAAATAAGTAAAAGAAAGGGAAACAATGAAGAAATAAAATTAATTCAAAAAGAAAACATAAAAAAGAATGAAAGAAGTAAAACTTGTTTAAAAAAAGAAAAAAAAGTAGGAAAAGAGACAGAAAGAAAACAATAAAAAAGAGAACAAGAAAAAAAAGAGGCAGAAGGAAAAGAAGGAAAAAAAAGATGGAAAGAAAATGAGTAAAAAAAGAGGCAGAAGGTTAAGAAGTAAGAAAAAAAGAGGCAGAAGTCAAGGCAAAGAAGCAAAAAAAAAGAGGCAGATGGCAAAGAAGGGAAAAAAAAGAGGCAGATGGCAAAGAAGGGGAAAAAAAAGAGGCAGATGGCAAAGAAGAAAAAAAAAAAGGCAGATGGCAAAGAAGGGGAAAAAAAAGAGGCAGATGGCAAAGAAGGGGAAAAAAAGAGGCAGATGGCAAAGAAGGAAAAAAAAGAGGCAGATGGCAAAGAAAAAAAAAGAGGCAGATGGCAAAGAAGGGAAAAAAAAGAGGCAGATGGCAAAGAAGGAAAAAAAAAAAAGGCAGATGGCAAAGAAGGGAAAAAAAAGAGGCAGATGGCAAAGAAGGGGAAAAAAAAGAGGCAGATGGCAAAGAAGGGGAAAAAAAAGAGGCAGATGGCAAAGAAGGGGAAAAAAAAGAGGCAGATGGCAAAGAAGGGGAAAAAAAAGAGGCAGATGGCAAAGAGGGGAAAAAAAAGACAGAATTCTCAGAGATATAAGTTAAGAAAGAAGGAATCGAAAAAGAAGTAAAACTAGTTAAAAGAAAGGAAATAACTAAAGGAAGGAAAATTGTTTTAAAAAAGAATTAAAGAAAAAACTGCAAAAACAAAAAAGAATGAAACAAGTAAAACAAGTTAAAAAAATAAGTAAAAGAAGAAAGTAAAAAACAAAAGAAAGAACTATTTTTGAAATTGAATAAAGGAAAACCATTTAAAAACATGGAATAAAAACAAGTAAAAAAAAATAATAGATAGGAAACATTTTCATTTACAAAATCATTATTTAAAAAACCAAAGAAAACAAGTAAAACCCTAAAAGAAGGAAAAATATTTTAAAAATAATACCTGCCTTTGAATCATTTTTACATTCCCCAACTTTTAATTAAACAACATAAAAAAAATTCTCTCAAAGATATTGGACATTAGTTCAGATCTCATTAGAATGGTAAACAAATTCTTTATTTCCAATCCATGCTGCTTGTTTAACAGTCTTAGAATAGAAAAAGTGAGCATTGCCAGAAAAGATAACAAAATAAGATGTTAGGTAAAAAATTGTAAAATTTCCTAAAAGTGCTTAATCTAAGAAATTCACACAAATTGTTCACTTTTATTGAATATTTTTAATGTATTTTAAATATGCAAATATACAATTTCATTTGATAAATATATGGCTTGTTATTATTAGTATTATTAAATTTTCCTTTGTTCTCATTCCAATGCTATTAGCCGTTCTGTTCTTTGGCTGAGAAATCAAGACAATGATTTAATTTAACTTCACTTGTCTGGTTTCTATCGTGCAATTGGTAAAAGCATTATGTCTATCAGACAGATTCCCAATAGCACGGGACGTGAATTCAATTCTCTAATCAGAGGTTACTTTATTTTTTTATCCATGATGCTTCTGATTAATGGTCAGGTGAATGTAAAGTAACCTGAGTATTGCTATAAAAGGTACAAAAATATTATGAAAAGAAAAAATGCCTCATATAAGAAATTTGAATAACTTAAGACTATTATATCTACTACTACTACTAGGTGTAAACAGGCATGGAAAAAATGAAATAACAAAGAATGAAGCTATAAGACTGAATTTTGTGTACCAGTAAATCTTAGTAGTCTAATTGGTAAGACAATGTCCATGTCAGATAGGCACCTCAAAATATAGAAAGCGTGTTTAAATGTCATCAATAGCTAATTCTTTATTGCCAATTCATGCTGCTTGATTAATGGTTTTAGAATAGAAAATGGACCATAAAAAGTACCAAAAAACAGGTTAATGGTCCTAGAATAGAAAATGTGAGTATTGCCATAAAGAGTTCAGCTTGAAATGCCAATCCTCTGAAGAAGGCTGGAGTGTACAATGGCTGAAACATCATTAAGTATAGTTTTCTACTTACAACCCGTTTTTAATCACCGCCCCCAAAATGGTAACAATGGGCATTAACAGGTTAATGGTCCTAGATTAGGAAACGTGTATTGCCATAAAGAGTTCATCTTGAAATGCCAATCCTCTGAAGAAGGCTGGTGTGTTCAACAGCTGAAACATCATTGATATGGCAACAGAGATGAGGACAATGTAAATAGTGCAAATAATAACAATACCTCATCTCAGAAATATAGACAGATATACAAATATGTGTGCATGTTTGGTATATTTCATTAATGCAGATTAATTTGGAAACTGCTGAAAGTTCTTTGTTTAGAAATTTTTTTAATTTCATTTTTTGCTATTTGTACCATTTTTCTGGTTACCAAGGAAAATTTTAATATAAATTGTCCAATGTCTTCTGAACACTTTCAAATGAATGCAACAAACTTCTTATCCACTCATTTACTAATAGCTTGTTGCCAGACTAATTTAAGCTGTGTAAATATCCATAGAATCATTTTTCCTGTTTATTTTCTCCTAAACTATTTCAAATCAGATGAAAACAGCATCTGTTTTTGATTGAATTGTCACATGTTGGCTTTTCATTGCTAAAATGTTTAAAAAAAAAAAACAATATTTTCTTTCTCTTTTCTATATGAAATTTTATAATTAACTTCCTTTCTTGAATCTTTCAGTTAATTATTTGTTATTTTTCTAATATTTTCATTGTTTCTTTTTCTCTTTTTAATCTGAATTCATTTTTTGGTGTTTCTTTTTTTAATCATTTGTTTCAGTATTTCTTTTTTTCATTTATTATTTTTGCTTCTCTATCATTTTTTCTTTTTTGTTTCTCTTTCATTTTTTTCTTTTTTCTTTGCTTTCATTTTTTTCTTTTTTCTTCTCTTTCATTTTTCTTTCTTCTCTTTCATTTTTTCTTTTCTGTTTCTCTTTCATTTTTTCTTTTTTGCTTCTCTTTCATTTTTTCTTTTTTGCTTCTCTTTCATTTTTTTCTTTTTTGTTTCTCTTTCATTTTTTCTTTTTTGCTTCTCTTTCATTTTTTCTTTTTTGCTTCTCTTTCATTTTTTCTTTTTTGCTTCTCTTTCATTTTTTTCTTTTTTCTTCTCTTTCATTTTTCTTTCTTCTCTTTCATTTTTCTTTTCTGTTTCTCTTTCATTTTTTCTTTTCTGTTTCTCTTTCATTTTTTCTTTTCTGTTTCTCTTTCATTTTTTCTTTTTTGCTTCTCTTTCATTTTTTTCTTTTTTCTTCTCTTTCATTTTTCTTTCTTCTCTTTCATTTTTTCTTTTCTGTTTCTCTTTCATTTTTTCTTTTTTGCTTCTCTTTCATTTTTTCTTTTTTGCTTCTCTTTCATTTTTGTTTCTCTTTCATTTTTTCTTCTTTCATTTTTTCTTTTTTGTTTCTCTTTCATTTTTTGTTTCTCTTTCATTTTTTCTTTTTTGCTTCTCTTTCAGTTTTCACTATTTTCCTCTTTAATGATTTAACTCTGAATTTTACACTGTTTCTTTTTTCATTGTTTCTTTATCCTCTTTCATTATTACTATTTCCTCTTTCTTTTTTTCATTATTTCTTTTGTAATCCTCTCTCTTTCATTTTTCATTTTTTTTCCTCTCTCTTTTTCATTATTTTAATAATTCTATTTCATTTTCATTCTTTTTTTAATTCTTTCTCTTTCTTTTTTCATGTTTCATTATTTATTTTTTGCTTTTTTTTCCTTTTATTTGCTGTTTTCTTAAATTGCTTCTTTCATGTTTTCATTATTTTATTCTCTTTCATTTTCATTCTTTTTTATCTTTTACCTTTTTATTAAGTTTTTCTTTTCTCTTTCATTTTTTCTCTTCTCTGTCATTCAATTTTTTATCCTTTCTTTTTTGTTTTTCATTATCTGTTTATGTTTTTTATATTCTTTTTTACTTGTCTTTCCTTTTCCATTTGTAAATTTTTCTTCTCTTTTTTCTGTTTTATTTGATTTTCCTTTTGTTTTTATACGTGAATTTTATTTCTTCTATTTTGTCTTTGTTTTTTCATTTATGTGTTGTTAGTTCTTTCTATTTTCATCTTGCCTCTTTTTTTTTTCTTTCCTTTTCTCTCTGTTCTCTTTTTGTCATTTCTTTATTCTCTTTCTTATTTTCTTTCTTTTCTTTCCCGTGTACTTTCTCTTTTCTTCGCTTTTTATATTTTTATTTTATTCTTTTCTCTTTTTCATTCATCTTTTTTACATTCTTATTCGGTTATATTTTTTGCTCTTACTTTTTCATTTTTTCTTTTTTATTGTTTTCGAAATTTTCTTTCCCATCCTTCTTTCTTTTCTTCTCTTCCTTTCTCTTTTTCCTTATTCACCTTCTTCTTTTACCATTCTTTTTTTTTGTATCCTTTCCCTTTTCTTTTTCTCTTCTTTCTCATTATTCTTTTTTTGTTTTTACTTTCTTCTTTCCCCTTTTTTTTCCTTTCATTCTTGTATTGTTTACTTTTTACTCTATTATTTTTTTTTCTTTACAATTTTTCTTTCTCTTTTTTTTTTTCATTTTGCATTTCCATTCTTTCTTTTAATGGTAAAGAAAACTTTTTTCTTTCTTTTTTTTTTTTTTTAACTTGACGTATGAATCCAGAATTGTGCTAGTAATGGGGAGGGGGGCATAAATATATTGGTATCTTTTATTTTTCTCTACAAAACAATTTTTCAAGTAAATTATTCTATTTTATCCCCTGCCCCACATCAAACCAACCAGTTATCCATTTTTTTTTTTTTTTTTTTTGCATGCTCTGATCAATACAAAAAACTTCCTTAAAATTTTCGAGAAACATCTCAGAAGGAAGTCTCTAGAAATAAGTGAAAACGTATCCCATATTTTTTTATTATTATTTATAATTATTTTTCACCAATCAATCCCAAACATTATTTTTTTTTTCTTCATACAAATACTTTCCAATATTTTAGTATTTCTCTTCTTTTTTTTTTTTTTATTTTTAATGTAACCGTTTTCTTCTGTACTTCTCCCAGTCATCACAAGAGCGAAACCGCCCATTTATAATATTTTTTCCCCCCCATTTTGGAAAGAGAATTTTTGTCAAATGATCTACTTAGAGCGAAATGTACAAAGAGATTGGATGTTAGTTTTTGCACTTTCTCATTGGTACAGATACTAATTTAATTCTTTCTTCTTTTTTTTTTTTTTTTATTTTCTTCCAGATTCTTTGCTTTGCATGTTGAATGTGCTAATGTTAATTGAATGTCTCCAAGGGGGTGTCATCATGAAGAGAAGAAAGGGCTGCTTGTATTGAGATGTAAATCTCTAATCATGTGACATTTGATCAACATTCGAATGAGTTTTAATCTTTTTCTCTTGCTTTTACTATTTTCTTCTCTTGCTTAGTAGCTAAATCAATTTTTCTCTTTCTTTTTTCTCTTTACATGTATTTTATTATTCTTTACCTCCCATTTTGATTTCTTTCACTCCCTCTTTTTCATTTGATTTCTTTCACTCCCTCTTTTTCATTTGATTTCTTTCACTCCCTCTTTTTCATTTGATTTCTTTCACTCTCTTTCAATGTCAATTTTTATTTCTCTTATCTTAAATTTTTTTCTTTCTATTTTTTCGTCACAGTTGATTTTTTGTCTCTTTTTCTCTATTGATTTTTTCTCCCTCTTTCAATTGATTTTTTCTCTCATTCAATTTCTGCTCTCTTTCTCTCTCTTTTCTGATTTGCTCTCTCTCTCTGTCTCAAAGTTTTTTGTTTCCTTCTCTTACATTCAGTTTTTAATCTCTTTGTCACTCTTTCTTTCACTTGATTTCTTCCTCTTTCTTAGTTCTTTCCCTCTTTCTCTCTCTTTCGATCTGCATCCCTCTCTTTCTTTCAATCTTCTTCCCGCTCTCTCAATTTCCTTCCTTCCCTCTCTCGTCCTCTCCCTCTTTATCATATTTGATTTATTTACTTTTTCACTTATTCAATTGCTTTCCCCTTCTTCAATTTTTCCCCCTCTCTCATTCACTTTGTTTCTCTCTGTTTTTCTTTCTCTTCATCATTCTGTTTTCCTTTTTATTTTCTTTCTCTCTCAAACTGTTTAATTTCTCTCTTTCTCTCCTTGTTTCTTCATTACCCCCTTCAATAATCTATACATATCATTCTTTTTCTTTGTCTTTTTCAATACCAACTTAATTCAATTCTTTCTTTTTCTGTCTCCCTGTGTCAAATTCTCTTTCTTTTCCCATTTGAATTTTCTTTCACAATGTCCAATTGCACCCCAGGTTGAATTCTTCTTCTTTCATTTTTAAGACTACCCTCTAATTACACTTACTCTTTCTCTCTCACTATTATACCACTTTATCTTTTTTTCTCCCTCCAGTCTCTCTTTCCCAGTCTTATTATATTTCTTTCTTTCTTTCTTTTTTCACATTTCTTTCATTCTTCTTAAAACTCTCTCTATATGACCTTCTCAATCTATTCATCTTTTTTTTATTTATTATACTTGAATCTATAGGCAAACGTTCATTTTATGTGCTGTGTTCCTTCATGACATAGGGGATCATGGCTCTCCACTTCCTCCTATCCCTTGTAGTTCTAAATAAGTTTTGTCTTTTTTGCTACTTCTTGCAGACCCTGTTCTGCCATCCACTTAAACCTGCTAAGTATGTTACTCATTGTTACCCCTTGTCCTTCTTTCCCTCTATCCACCATCTGAGTATCAGATTTTCCAAGCCTTCCCTTCTCATTACATGTCCCAGAAATTTCAGCTGCCTCTTCCAGATTTCAAGTATAAAGTTTCCTTTTTGTTTGTATTCTCTCCAAAACCTCATCAGTGCTCATATTTTCTGTCCATGGTATCCTCAGCATCCTTCTGTAGAACTCCATTGCCTCAAGTCTCTTCTTCATCTTTGAGGAGACTGTCCAACATTTGCTGCTGTAAAGGAGGACTTATATCATGTAGCAGTTCAATACACTTTTCTTCATTACCAGTGAAACCCTTCTGTCTCATAATACTCTGCATAGCTTTTGGAATTCGTCTTTGGCCATCCCAATACATCTTTGGATCTCAGTGTCGCAATTACTGTCCTGTCAGAACATTTCCCATATATTAAAAACTAGCAGTAGAGCTCAGCGTTGTCCGGGGATGTAACAGTAAGAGATAGATCAAGTATCGACCATCATAAAGACTGAAAAATAAAATTGACAAAGATTATTGTTTAAGGTTGACGGACATGCATGTCTTAATTAGTTTTTTTTTGTTTTTTTTACGAATTGGTCAAACCCAAACTCAAACAAAAACATTGTTTTCAATCGTTATGAGTCTATCGATTGAATAGAATTTTATTATAAACAATTGTCTTGTAAATGGAATTTTTAAAGCATTCTGAATGTAAAAAAAAAAAAAAAAAGTGTGCAAGACAATAAGAAACACTACCTGCCAAAAAAAAGTGAAGTTTTGTTGAAATCGGTTGAAAAATGTAGCAAATCCGATCCCATATATAAATGAACACACACACACACACACACACACACACAAACAACCTGGGTTTTTATAATAAGTATAACTCGATATGAGTTGTCCCTCTTTCATTCTGGCGACAGAATCGTGTTTTATCGTGTTTTCAAATTGATTTTGTGCAAAAACAATTGTTTTTCCAATTTTTGGCACTGTCAGAACCACCGCAAGGTAATTTTACACAGTCCTGTGAAGTTTTGTTGAAATCAGTTGAAAAATGTAGGAAATCCGATCCAATATATAAACGTACAGACACACAACACACACACACAATCTGCGTTTTATAATAAGTAAGATTTTGCACCTGCTTGATTTTAGTGTCCCCAACATGTAAATCACATTTCAGGCTCATCTTTTTGCTGATGACCATGCATTTTGTCTTCTTGTAGTTTATGCTTAGTCTCTTCTTCTCGCTCTCGTTTGCTACCTTCTGTAGGAGGTTTCATAATTTCCTTTTCTGTGTCTGCTATCAGCACTGTGTCATCTGCGTATCTTACATTGTTAAGATTGTGGATGCCAATGATGAATCCTGGTAGAATTTCCAGTTCTCTCAAAATCACCTTCATGTATAGGTTGAATAAGTCTGGTGAGAAGTCACATCCTTGCCTTACGTACCTTTCTATTTTTGTATCTCTGCTGAACTCATTTTCTATCCACATGCAGGCGATTTGCTGCCAGTATAGGTTCTTGATTATTCTAATATCTTTCCGAAATATATCAAAGTTGCTGAGCAGTTCCAACAGTTCTTTGTAGCGTACTTTGTCAAATGCTTTTATGTAGTCTATATGCGTCCTTCTGCATTTGTATTGCTCTTTCTGATAATACTCTGAGCATGAATATTGCATTTCTTGTTCTGGTGACTTTAATGAACCCGCACTGTCCTTATCCTATCTCTGGCCTGATTCTGCTGCGTGCTCTATTCATCAGAATACAGATGATGAGTTTTGTTACATGACTCATGAGGCTGATTGTTCAGTGGATTTCACATTCATTTGCGCCTAGTTTCTTAGACAATGCTATGAAAATAGATCTGCTGAGATCTTTCTGTATATCCCCATTGTAGATTTCATTTATTATTTCTGTAATCTTGTCTATGCCAAAATCATCTAAGGCTGTCAGCATTTCTGTTACAATTCCACCTGGCCCTACCACTTTGTTTCTGTTCATTTTGGCCAGTGCAGCTTCTACTTCAGTTTTTAGAATTCAGGCACGTCAGTAAATTTGTGTATTGCCGGTTGTTCTCTTTTGTTGTGGAACAGTTCTCCAATATATTCATTCCAGCACTGAAGAATTTTTTCTTCTCTAATATGAACATTCTATCCTTGGATTTTATGCAGCCTGTTGATGAGCATGTCTCATGTCCTGTTAGTTCCCTTAAGTCAGGTTTATACTTAAGTCTATAAGTAAACATTGGTTTGGCTTATACTTGAGTCTATAGGAAAACATTGGTCAAGTTTATACTTGAGTCTATAGATGAGCCTTTGGTTAGGTCTATACTTGAATCTATAAGCAAACGTTGGTTGTGTTTATATTCCTGTCTGTAGGTAAACATTGTTCAGTTTATTAGCAAGCATTTTGTTTATACTCAAGTCTATTGGTAAATATTGGTCAGGTTTATACTTGAGTCTATAGGTAAACGTTAGTCATGACTATAGATACACATTGTGTTTATACTTGAGTCTATAGGTAAGCATTACCCAGTTGTACACTTGAGTTTTTGGCAAGCTTTTGTTTGGGTTTATACTTGAGTCTACAGATAAACATTAATCATGTTCATACTCAAATTTATAAGATAAATATTGGTTGTATTTTTACATAAGTCTGTAGAACACATAATGAGGAAAGAGGGCTTGGAAAATTTGATACTCACAGGACAGATTGAAGGCAAAGGGGACAGAGGACAACAATGTATAACCTACCTGGTGAGGGAATAGACGACAGAGGAGAGTTTGGGAAAGATGACAAAAAGATAAAATTTATTGAGAGCTACAAAGGAGTGGAAGTTCTGGGGATCTGTGATCACCAATGTCCTGAAGGAACATTACACATAGAAGAATAAGGAGTAAATATATTTTAATCTACAAGCATCTACCCAACAGGTGGCTCCTTGATGGGGTCTTTGCAGGAGATGTAGTCAACATTTTCCAGACCCTGCCAACAGGGGGAAAAAATAAAATAAAAAGATCATCATGTTTAGTCAGGTTTTGACAAGTGGGTTAGGCTGAGAACCTCTTGAATATTAATATACGATACTAGGACATCATTGAACTAAATATGTTACCTTGATGCAACAACACGTGCGCACAAACGAGGCATGCTGGGAATTTTATTCATTTATTTATTTTTATTAATCTAGCCAATTTCATTTACATTCTTTTTATTACTTTTGTTAGTAGATATCCCAACAACGTGATAATAGAAATTGTGCTAGGAATGGTGAGATGTTGTAGTTTGGTTTTGTTTATTTTGTTTTATGGTATATCAACACCTAAATGGGTTATTTAATACCGACAAGATTTTTAGGGTAGATTTGTATGAATAGAATATGTATTCTTTGTAAGAAAATCAGTTTCTACATCAGGTTTCATTGACATATTTTTGTAAAAAGCAGGTTTTGTCAAGAGTCAAATGTATTTTTTTTAAGCAAATTGCCCCAAGCAAGGCAGGAGTGCCACTAGCATGCAAGTGGTTACAGAGAGTAAGAGTAAAGAGGAGTGTTTGGGAAAAGGATAAAGGCAAGAACAGGGATCAAAGTCTAGGCATCAGAAGATGTCGATTGATATTACATTTGAAGATTATAGTTATCAGGGAAGCAAGTGATAGGGAGTTCCACTGATGGGAGGTGCAAGATAAGAAGCTGTAGGAGTAGAAGAGATGGCTACATTTAGTCGTTTCGACAGTAAAAGGGCGGGACCGAGATGCCAATCTAGTAGCACGCTTAAATTCATGCAGTTTGGGAACCAGTGAAAGTAGCTCATCAGAGCAGTTGCCATGAAAGTATTTGTAGAAAAGACAGAAGCCACAGCACGTCTGTAAGATAGCGACTGCTGACAGGAGCCAGATCAGGACCAACCACGTTGTATATCCATCTCAAGGACCTCGAGATGAATAGTGGGAGCACCAGACCATATATGGCAGCATTATTCCATGCAAGGACAAATGGTTGATTTGTAGATTTGAAGGATGGACTCAGGCAAGAAAAACCTTCTGGTGCAATACAGAGAACCAACTTTCTTTGCAGTAGATGAAGCTATAGATTCAATGTAGTCGTTCCACTTCAGCTCAGTGTACAGGATGAGACCAAGCAGGCACAGTGAGGGACTCTCATGGAGTTGGGCATCAGCTATCCTGATGGGAGGCAGGGAGGGTTCTCTATGGTGGGTAACTGAGAGCAGTTTGTTTTAGAGGTATTAAAGTTTACAAACCATTTCCTGCCCCAGTCAAACACAGATTGGAGGTCCTTCTCGAGGCCCACAGCCAGGTTAATTTTGTCAACGATGCTGGATCTACTATTAAGGCAGGAGTAAATAGTAGGGTCATCAGCGTTGGGAGTTGATGACATCAGGAAGATCATTGATGAAGATCAGAAACAGTGTAGGACTCAGAAGAGAGAGCTTTAGGTAACACCAGTGATTGTGTGAAAGGAACTGGAGGAGAACCTATTTAGTATGAACTTCATTTCATGGTTTGACAGGAATTATTTTAAGTCAAATAATCGTCCTGTAATGCTGTATCCCTGAAGCTTACGAAGAAGGCCAGTGTGCTAAACCCTATCAAACACTTTAGAGATATCTAAAGCTACGACTCGAGCTTCTCCATTATTGTCAAGTGCTTGGTTTATAAATTCAGTTATGGTCGGGGTCAAGCTGGTAATATTTTTTTTTTTTCAAAAATGTATTGCTGGTATTTTTAATATAAAAATCTTATTTTTATACGTTCATAGTATTTTTGAACCCAGTATGGGGGATTAATGATTTTCTCATAGCTGGATTCGAACACATGCTACCACCCTGAGAAATGTTGTAAGATCTAAGGCACAAATTTACTGTGGATGACTTTAAGATCAAGGCACTCTCTTAGCATTTTTGTCATAGTGAATTGTTTTCTCCTTTAATCAGAGTAACATTTTTTGTGTTAAAATTATAGTCAGTCTTGTTCTGGTAGGCCATCAACACATTTGATGTATAGTTTTGTAATATATATATATATATATATTTTAAGACATTTTTAGGTTTATACATTCTTTTTATAGATACAAATATTTAAGTAAATACTCTGTTTATAATAAACAGTATTAAGCAAAATTTACCGGCCTCTGAATAACCAAACACGCCTCTGTGGCCAAATTGTCAAACTAAATGATGGTTCCATATAGGATACAGGTTCGAATCCTGTTGGAGGACGAATATTTTCTGTGAAAAAAAGGCCGGTAAATGTTGTTTAATACTGTTTATTATAAACAGTGCATTTACTTAAAATATTTGTATCTATAAAAAGAATGTATAAACATAAAAATGTCTTAAAATAATTGTCGGACTTTGTCCATTTCATAATATATATATATATATATATATATATATATATATATATATTGAAGTTGAAGCTTTACATAAAACAAATTTGAAAGACAAAATAACGTTGTTTTAAGAAAAAAAAATTTATTAATTAATATTATAAAGTAGAAAACATATTTATTTGAAAAAACAAAGTAACTCTGCATAAAGAAAAATAAATTCTTACTAATTAATATTTTAAAGTAGAAACTTTTCAAATAAAACACATATAAAGTAACTAAATTTAAAGAAGAAAATTAATTTAGATTTTAAAGTAGAAACTTCACATGAAACACATTTATTTGAAACAAAGTTTTGTAACCTAGAAAAGTTTGCTGAATGAGGAATAACCAAAACGGAGGTTGGAAATGAAATGGTAATTTTTATACCATCAACAAAATATATTACTCGTCAGCGCCATGAAGTAGGTAAACCACTGCTACTGGTGGACTACTTAGACAGCATCTTACCCCCACTTACAATAGTGTCCAAAGTATTTCTGAGGATTGGGATATACCCATTAGTGTATATAGTTATGGTATCTAACAGAAAGTAATTCAGTTTAAAGAAGAAAAATAATTTTTATTGATATTTTGAAGTAGTAACTTCACATGAAACAGATTTCTTTGAAAAACAAAGTAACTCAGCAACAGAAGAATCTTAATGAGAATAATGTATCTGACAGCAGCCATTTATCAGTTTGTTAAAATTAGGTGTCAAATTGCTGGTGACAATTATTTGGTATGCCATATGAATTCTTTTGGCTTGTCGCATGCAGCCTATGGGATGTAATTTGACAAATCTGTTCTGGAGAATGAAACATAACAGAATTTTTCTACTTAGTTATTCAATTACCTAACATTGCCTGCTGTTGACATAGATGTTCAAGATGCTGTGAAATGTCAGTATCTAGCATTTGAGTTATAAACTTGCTAGTGCTTAGTACTATTTCCAAACCAGTGGGAACATACAAGGTATGATAGGTAAATTGTTGCCATTTTATATTTTTAATTTTGCGCATTCACACTGTTTGTTTTTGATTCTGTCAACTGAACAGTATAGTAGGGTCAGTTGAGCACTCTCTATCAGAAAAAGAGCACCATGCTGCAATTCACTCCACCAAAAATTTGGATATGGCATGCTGTACTGCTTGGCATTCATGCCAGAAGCTCCAATACAAGTGTCTTGGTATCATTCCTAGGGCAATGCAAAATATTCAGAAAGAGTTGGATGAGTCTAATGGTGATTATGAAGGTGTTTGGAGTGATCACTAGCGATGGTGACATTATGCCTCCATTCATCTTCCCACAAGGCCTCAGACTCAACACAGAGGCTTACATCAAGTGCGCTAAGAAGGTAGTGCTGCTCTGGATCAAGGGTGTGGCTGCTCAAAGACCCTATGTCTGACAACAGGACTCTGTACCATACCACACAAACAGGAGAACCCAGTCATGGCTGTGAGACAATTTCTGTGACCACATCACCCCTTACATCTGGCAACCTAACTCCCCAAACTGCAACCCCCTTGATTATTATATGTGGGAAGCAGTTGAGAAAGAGACCAACAAAACTTCTTGTAAAAACAAAGATGAATTTATGGCATGGATTATGGCAGCATTAAACCAGTGGGAACCATCTGGAAGAGTTGCTGGAGATTCCAAAGTCATCTGTAGGCCATGGTTGAAGCCAATGATGATTTTATTGAATAAATTTACTCTTTAGTATTTCAAGATATTTTTGTGTAATTTTGGTGAATATATCTGTTAAAATGAGATGCCAGTGTTATTTTCATTTTTGCATAATTTAGACGATAATTTATCTATCGCACCCTGTATAGTAGCATACAATGGAACCTTTTTTGTGATGTATTTTTTATTAGAGGTTGGGGTGTTGCTTAGCTTAGTCTGTAATGCAGATGATCTGATTGAAACCAAAATGGCAGCACTCGTGAATAATCACCATCAGTGTCCTTATAATCATTTATTTCCAGTAAATGTCAATTTTGTTTTCTTTCTTTTTTTTCCCTAAAAATGAGCCAGTACAGACATGCAATAATGGTATAACAATGCAGTAGTGAAAGTGTTAATATAACACAAGATCTTTGTGATCATGTGAATGCAGCTGAACTAGTCAGTGCAGTTAAGTGCCATATGTGATACATGCTTGGGTGATCATATCTCTTTTGATTCATGACTGACTAGGCAGAAGATTATTCTGCAGCAAAGTGTCATTTCTTTCTGTGGTAGACTGGTTGCCAGACAAGACTATAAGACATTGCATGTTCTACTATTCAACTCACAGCTAGGGGGAGAAGATATGGATTTATACCTCGCAAGGGTATTTGCGAGTAAGTGTAAGTAACGAACCCAACTGGAATTCAAACTCAGCTCTCTGATTTCTCATTCAGAACCATTATCCATCATACAATACTGCACATAAACCAAAATTCTGAAATAATCGAACAATCTGGATTATAGATTCAAAATCAGCAAATTTTATTTTGGATCAACCACACTTTTGCCTCGGTCATAAAGTCTTTTTTGCTAAGTGTTCTCCACATATATTCAAATTTTGTTGAAGGCAATGTCTGACAATGATATCAATAAAATAAGTTATCAACCTATCAACATATAACTTGCCTTTATCCAGATTAAAGGATTATCTTCTATATTTGGCTTTATATCTTTAAGCCGAATTAATCCTAATTACACTTAAATTGTTATTAGTACATAAATCCAAGATTATTTGTTTGTATATAAACATCTTATTTAAAGTGAATGATATTAGACACTTTTAATAAGATGTGGAAGCCAGTTTTACAATGTAATTACTTTGGGTCACAAATGGCAAATCAATGTCTAGTTAATTTCATCCACCCAGAATTACCTTGAAAAACTTCAGTGTATGTCTTGCTCCCTCCTTGTACACTCTTTCTTTTCCTCTTCTCTCTTATTGCCCTCTTTCTCTTCTAGATCTCTCTCATTACACTCTTTGCTTTCTTTTTCTCCATCATTTCTCTCTCTCTCTCTCTCTCTCGTTGTTCCCTTTTCTCCTCTTTCTCTCTCTTATTGCCCTCTTTCTCTTCTATATCTCTCTCTACCCTCTCTTTCTCTTTCTTTTTTCCATCATTTCTCCTCTCTCTCTTATTGTTCCTTTTCTCCTCCTTCCTCTCTTTACCCTCTTCTATATCTCTCTCATTACCCTCTTTGACCTCTTTCTGTCGCATTGCTTTCTTTTTCTCCATCCTTTCTCTCTCTCTCTCGTTTTTCCCTTTTCTCTCCTTTCTCTCTTATTGCCCTCTTTCTCTTCTAGATCTCTCTCATTACCCTCTTTGACCTCTTTCTGTCTCTCCATCATTTCTCTCTCTCTCTCTCTCTTTGTTCCCTTTCTCCTCCTCTCTCTCTTATTGCCCTCTTTCTCTTCTAGATCTCTCTCATTACCCTCTTTGACCTCTTTCTGTCATTGCTTTTTTTCTCCATCATTTCTTCTCTCTTTTCTCTTTGTTCCTTTTCTCCTCCTTCTCTCTCTTATTGCCCTCTTTCTCTTCTAGATCTCTCTCATTACCCTCTTTGACCTCTTTTTCTCTTTCTTTTTTCTCCATCATTTCTCTCTCTCTCTCGTTGCTTTTCCTCCTTCTCTCTCTTATTAGATCTCTCTCATTACCCTCTTTGACCTCTTTCTGTGTCTTTTTTTTCTCCATCATTTTCTCTCTCTCTCTCTCATTGTTCCCTTTTCTCCTCCTTCTCTTTATTGCCCCTTTCTCTTCTAGATCTCTCTCATTACCCTCTTTGACCTCTTTCTCTTGCTTTCTTTTTCTCCATCATTTTCTCTCTCTTTGTTCCCTTTTTCTCCTCCTTCTCTATTATTGCCCTCTTTCTCTTCTAGATCTCTCTCATTACCCTCTTTGACCTCTTTCTGTCGCATTGCTTTCTTTTTCTCCATCATTTCTCTCTCTCTCTCTCTCTCTCGTTGTTCCTTTTCTCCTCCTTCTCTCTTATTGCCCTCTTTCTCTTCTAGATCTCTCTCATTACCCTCTTTGACCTCTTTCTGTCGCATTGCTTTCTTTTTTTCTCTCCATCTCTCTTCTCTTTCTCTCTCTCCTTCTCTGTTCCTCTTTCTTTCTCCTCCTTCTCTCTCTTTCTTGCTCCTCATTTCTCTTCTCTCTCTCTCTCATTCCTCCCCTCTTTGACCTCTTTTCTTGTCTCTCCACCCTCTTTGATTGCATTCTTTTTTTTCTCCATCATTTTCTCTCTCTCTCTCTCTCTCTTTTCTCCTCCTTCTCTCGTTGTTCCCTTTTCTCCTCCCTCTTTGACCTCTTTATTGCCCTTTTCTTTTCTCCTTTTTCTCTCTCTCTCTCATTGTTCCTTTTCTCCTCCTTTCTTTTTGCCCTCTTTCTCTTCTAGATCTCTCTCATTACCCTCTTTGACCTCTTTCTGTCATTCTTTTTTTTCTCCATCATTTCTCTCTCTCTCTCTCTCGTTTTTCCTCCCTTCTTATTGCCCTCTTTCTCTTCTAGATCTCTTCATTACCCTCTTTGACCTCTTTCTATTGCTTTCTTTTTCTCCATCATTTCTCTCTCTCTCTCTCGTTGTTCCTTTTCTCCTCCTTCTCTTATTGCCCTTTCTCTTTAGATCTCTCTCATTACCCTCTTTGACCTCTTTCATTGCATTGCTTTCTTTTTCTCCATCATTTCTCTCTCTCTCTCTCTCTCGTTGTTCCCTTTTCTCCTCCTTCTCTCTCTTATTGCCCTCTTTCTCTTCTAGATCTCTCTCATTACCCTCTTTGACCTCTTTCTGTCGCATTGCTTTCTTTTTCTCCATCATTTCTCTCTCTCTCTCTCTCGTTGTTCCCTTTTCTCCTCCTTCTCTCTCTTATTGCCCTCTTTCTCTTCTAGATCTCTCTCATTACCCTCTTTGACCTCTTTCTGTCGCATTGCTTTCTTTTTCTCCATCATTTCTCTCTCTCTCACGTTGTTCCCTTTTCTCCTCCTTCTCTCTCTTATTGCCCCTTTTCTCTTCTAGATCTCTCTCATTACCCTCTTTCTTTCTGTCGCATTGCTTTCTTTTCTCCATCCTTTCTCTCTCTCTCTTCTTGTTCCCTTTTCTCCTCCTTCTCTCTCTTGCCCCCTCTTTCTCTTTGATCTCTCTCATTTCTTTGACCTCTTTCTGTCTCTTCTCATTTTCTCTCTCTCTCTCTCTTTGTTCTCTCCTCTCTCTCTTGTTGCCCTCTTTTTTCTCTCTCTCTTCTCTTTCTCTTTCTGTTCTTCTTTCTTTTCTCCATCATTTCTTTCTCTCTCTCTCTCGTTGTTCCTTTTTTCTTCTCTTATTCTCTCTTCTTCTCTTCTCTCTTTTCTTTGACCTCTTTCTTCGCATTGCCTTTTTCTCCATCATTTCTCTCTCTCTCTCTTCTGTTTCCTTTTCTTTTCCTTCTCTCGGTTGACCTCTTTTCTTCTCTCTCTACCCTCTTTGCCTTTTTTCTGTTTCTCATTTTTCTATTTGTTGTTCCTTTTCTCTCCTTCTCTTCTCTCTTTCCTTACCCTCTTTCTCATTCTTTTCTCTCTCTCTCTCTTTGTCTCTTCTCTCAACTTTTTTCTCTTTTCTTCTCTCTGGTTGTCCACTTTATCCTTTCTTCCCCTCTTATTCTGTCCATTTTTTCTCTCTGTTCTTTCTTTTTTCATTGCCATCATTTCTCTATCTTTCTCTTTTCTATTTTTTTGTTTTCTTTCTCTCTTTCTCTCTCTTTTCTGTATCTTTTGTCTAGTCCATTTTCTTTTCTCTCTCTTCTCTCTTTTCTTGCTGTCCATTTATCTCTCTTCTCTCTCTCTCACTGTCCACTTTCTCTCTCTTCTCTCTTTCGTAGTCCACTTTCTCTCTCTTCTTTTTCATGCTTTCTCTCTCTTTTTTGTCATTTATCTCTCTTCTTCTTGCTCTTCATTTTATCTCCTTTTCTCTCCTTTTTCTCTTTCATTGCCTTCTATCTCTTGTTTTTCTCTTTCTACTTCTCATGTTTCTCTCTCCTCACTTTTTTGTCCTCTTCATCTTCCTCCTCTTTCTTGATCTTTCTGTATCTCTACTGGTTTCTTGTTTATCTCTCCCTCCTCACTCTTGCTAGTCTTTCCTCTCTTCCTTTTTCTTATTCTCCCATTCATATCTTTGTGCATTGATATTTCTTTCTCACAATCTCTATTATTTTTCTCATTACAATATCCTCATTATATCTGTTTTCTCTCACTCACCTATCCTCTCTCTCCCTCACTTATCATTTGTTTTCTCCCTTGCTTTCCTCTTCTTACTTACTCTCCTTATTTCTCTTGCTCTCTCTCTCACTCCTTTTTCTTTCAGTTACTCTCCTTTGCTTCTAATATTTCTTTATCCTCTTCAGTGTTTCTCTCTATTCCCATTCCTCTTCTTCCATTATAAAAAAAAACTCCTTTTCTCTTCTCCATTTCTTCCCAATGTTTTTCTTATGCCCTCCTGATATACTTTTTGAAATAAACCTAGAAATCAATTTCAACCCCACATAAACAAAATAATCTTTCTTATTTTTACCCCATATTTTCTTTTTCATCATCAGAAAAAAAAAAAAAAATTCACCACGCATCTCAAAATCGCAACATCCTTGTCATCTTTAGAAACAACTACAAAAGACATATACTTACTCTACCCCCCATTGTGTACTCACTTTTCTGACATCATATAACTCTTGATACCCATTTAGCACCACCTTGTTCACCCACTAAAAAAAAAAAGTGATATTGAATCAGCACCAATCAGCTTGTGCAAAAATAATCCCAGATTCAGAATTCTTTACCATTCCACTTTTAGATCTTCATGCTTCCAATGCCAGTTTTTGCCATTTGTAATACCATTCACCAATTTTAGATCTTTCAGTTCTATCTATTCCACCTGGCTATACAGAATATGATAGTTTCTCTGATTTACTTAAATCAGTTGGTTCAAGCTTGAGGCCTAAAATTCCTTACTTAGATTTTTAGAAATTATTCCTTTACCATATTGTTTTTTCCAAGAGAGAAAATAAAAGAACCACAACAATCAGTAGACAATAAAAAGGGAGTACAAAAATTTTCCATAATTTTTATTGTCCTAAGCACTTTTGTCCACTTTTATAGCCATTTTATATATATATATATATATATATATATATATAAAATCTTTCTATTGAAACAATTAGTCACAAAAAATAGGTTTCTTAAGTCCACCAACTGTTATTGCTCTTTCTAGTATTGACAGGAGACATCTTTCCTAACCTTTTGTTTGAAGTCATGTGGAATGTCCACATCTTGATTATCTCATTATTTTCACTTTGAGTTACATGTGCCATCTATTTTTAATTGCTGCTGTTATAGGAAATCCTCAAGTGATGTGGTTTCTGTTTTTTGGTCCAGTTCTTTGTGATTCTCTAGACTCAAGACATGGGGTTTGAAGAAGAATAATCCTTACTAATTACTTACGTACTGATCCTTACTACAGGCTTCATTTGCTCAAAGCCATTTTTAACTATTTATCTTAGAAAGCGGTTATATAGTTGACAGTTTAGATATTTCTGAATCTCTTTGGCACCATGCATGACATCCATATGAAAGTTTTGATCTGACAAGACTATTTAAGAACATGATTCAAGATTTTAGTTTTTTTTTTTTTACCAATATTTATCTACAGACTCATGTATAAACCTGAGCAATGTTTGTCTATAGACATAATCAATATTTACTTATATACTTAAAGCTAACCCATTTTTACAAGTGAACTCAGGTTATAATAAAAACATATTTCAACATTAAATAATACAACAAGGTTATTGACAAAAGTATGCAGGTGTAGGCTTTAAGAAAGCTTTATTCAACTGAGAATACAAGGTTCGCTCATAGTGTCTTTTTATATTCCCTGTAAGCAGAAAATAGCTCTCTCAAAGAGGAGAGTAACAAAACAAGGGGAGACCACTCTTGATTATTCATAACAATTATAAAATTCCACCAACCTAAAAGTAAAAAAACTTTTGACTTTCCAACAAACATTTTCCTGTTCAAGAAAAGTTGCAAATAATTCCAGTTACAAGATTGGTTAGTCTCAGTAACATCAGTTTGGAAAAGAAAAGTCTTAATTTTAATTTGATTATTGGTCCTTTCTTGCCATGTTTATCTTGTACTTGTAGAATTTCAAACTTCCTCTTATTGTTCATTGTAGCTTGTCAAATAAACCAAAATAAATAGCTTGTCTATCTACAATCTTTCTCATCCATGGCTGGTTGTTAGAAAATATAGTAATTAAGGTTGTGGTGACCTAATGTTGGTAATAAACAACAAAAGGAGAAAATACATAATTACTTCAAATGCCTTGTTTCTCTTTCTTTCTATAGCCGAAGATCCTCCCATTAAAGACTTTAATCTTCTTACACCTGCATAATTAATTACTGTCCAGGTGTTCCTTGTAATTTTATTTTCAATTTTTTAAATTTTTATTTTAGGATTTTTATTTATCATTATTTTTCTTTTTCCATTTTTTATTTGTCCTTTTATTTTTTTTCTTTCTTTTCTTCTCAGTCTAGACTTTTTCTTCTGTTAACATATATCTCCTATTCTTTCAAACTCACTTTCTTTTTTCCTCTTCTTTCGTCTTCCTTTATCTTTAATTTTCCATCTTTCTTTATTTTCTTTGTCTTTATTTTTTTATTATTTCCTTTCTTTTTTCTTTCTTTCATTTTTTTAATTTCTTTTTTATTTATTTTACTTTTCCGTTTCTTAATTTTTCCTCTTTCTTTACATTTTTTATGTTTTCTTTCTTTTCTTCATTTTTTACTTACTTTTTCCATTTTTTATATTTTTCATTTTTTTTCTTTCATTTTTCCTTTTTTAATACTTTTTCCTTTCTTTAATTTTTTTATCATTTTTTCTTTTTACTTTATCTTTTTTCCCTTTTCTTTTTCTTTCTATTCAATTTCCTTCCTTCTTTCTTTCTTGTTCTTTTATTTCTTTATTCCATCTTTCCTTTACTTTTTTGTCATCATTCCTATGCTATTCTCATTATTTTTCTTCTTTCATTTTTTTTCATATTATGTTTCTTCACTCTTTTTTGTTCTTATTTTTTCTTTATTTCTCATTAAGTTACACTTTTTCCTTCCCCCTCCTTCATTCATTCTTGATTTATTTTTTATTGACAGACACCTCCTTTTAACACACTAATTACATAGATTATATTAGGATTTTTATGTCTGTCTTGTATAAACAAATATTCAGTCCATGAGTCATCAGTTGGTTCTGATTTAGTTTTTTTTTTTTTATAGATTGGCACTAGAAATCACAAAGTTCTTTACCAAATAACAAAAACCACATCACTTGAACACTTCTAACAACAGAAATAGGTAACACATATAACTAGAAGAGGAAATAATGATATAATCAAGGTGTTAACTTTCCACATTAGCAAAGAAAAGAAGATTAGAAGGAAAGAACCATGAGTATGAGAAAGAGCTATAACATTTAGTGGACTTGAGAAGTTTATTTTTTTTGAAAAACTGCTTTAGGAGAAAGGTTTTATGAACGTCAACTGGCAGTAGCACTGGCATTTTGATCAATGAACGGCAAATATTTCCTGCATGAAAACGGTCAATTTCACCATTATCATTGTTGCACACAATATATAAGATCAAAGGATAAATACAAAGAGAAGTATAGAATAAAATATAAATTTATAGCAATTTCTACATCATTTGAACACTTCTAACAACAGAAATAGTACATATAATTAGAAGAGGAAATAATGATATAATCAAGGTTTTAACTTTCCATACTATTAAAGAAAAGAAGATTGGAAGGAAAGAAACATCAGTATTAGAAAGAGCTATAACATTTAGTGGAGTTGAAGTTTATTTTTTTGAAAAACTGCTTTAAGAAAAATTTTTTTCAGTTTCAACTGACTGTAATGCTGTTTGGTCAATAAATACTGAATGTTCCCAGTGTGGAAACGGTCAATTTCACTATGGAACTCAGAATTACTCTGTCACTTAAATCTTATGATAGCGTCAATAACAAAGTGGTGAAATGGGACCAAGAAACCAAGGCAAAGAGGCCACAATGCCTCACCTGCCCAGCTGTAGCCGCTAGTTGCAATTAAGTAAAAGTGTATGTATAAAGAAACTATCACCAATTTGCATATGTGGTCAAAAACCTGAATAAAAAGTTAGAGCCATTTCCCTGTTTGTCTGTGTGGCTAAGATTTTGACTTGTTCAAGATTGGGCTCTTCATGGCTATCTAGCGTAAATGAAGATGAGGACAATAATCCACATGGACATAATGTAAATAATTCCTCATCCAAGAAATTCAGACAGAAAAGACTAACCACATCAATTAAAGACTTTGAACAGCAGCAACAACAACAAAAAGAATAGAAGTTAATAACTTTCCACATTCCAAAAAAATTGCTCCAAACAAATCCTTTAAATCTTAAAGAAGATGATTTTTTATTAAATCCTATAGACCAAAAGATGTTTTTTAAGAATGTGCTATTTATTGACGGTTGTACAATCTCGGAACATGCAAGTTGCAACACTAAAGTTCAAAATTTCATGTGAAAATTTTTATATGAATTTTGTAATATGGTAAATCCACTAATTCTTTTTTTACAAGTGTTTTTCAGTTAACATGACATGAACTAAGTATACAGTTCAATTAATATAGTGATATGTCTTAGTAGTTTTTTTTCTCAGGAATTTTGTACTGCAGATCAATTGCTTTTTATAAACATGATATTAGGCAGCATATATTTTATATATAAAGAAATAATCATATATAGAATCAATCAGCAATATTAATGCGATTAATGGCGAAATCACTTTGCTAGTAGAACATAATGTATGCATTAAAATGCTGTTAATCCATTGAATGATGTGATTCCATTTATAAAACTGTTGTCAAATGTTTCTAGTGTATTTTTTTTTTTAAGTTAAGCAAATGCTTTCAAAGATCTATGTCTTCATCCTCGGGCTGTAATTTTAAAGAAAAAAAAGGCCACTTTGAGGCTCCATTTGTAATAATTTATTTCACCAGAGAATTTTATTTTTCTCTAGGATCTTCAGGATGCAATGAAAAATGAATTTAAAATTCACAATTTTGACGGGCATTATTGAGCTTATATAAGTTAACATAGAAGGTGGTGAGGAATGGTGTGAGAGACATAGTCAAGTTTAGAGAGGAAAGGGAGAGTTTTAAAATTTATTTTTATATTCCTTTTTATTATAAGACTTAATATTGAGGAAGGAGGGGGTAAGGATCAGACATTGACCTATTTAATTAGTCAACTCAACGGAAATGATATGGGAAAAGGAAAAAGAAAAATCATATTCAAATATATATATATATATATATTTGAATATGATATGGCCTTATACCCATATCATGTTGAAACACCTGTTCCCATATGATCACCAAAGTTAAGTAATGTCAAGCCTGGTTAGAATCTAGATGGATAACCACTTGGGAACAGCAGATATTGTAAGATAGGATATGTAGGTGGTCTAATGGGTAATGACTCAGTATTGTTAATCAGAGAGCCAGGTTTCAATTCCTGTTGGGTTCATTATATTCACTTATGCATAAATACCATTGTGAAAGGTTTGAATTCACCACTTCTCTCCCCCAGCTATGGGTTAATTAGTAAGACTTGTATCCCTAAATTATTATTACCTAAAAAAAAGTCCTTATTATCTAAAAATATTTTCTGGCTTCAAATAACCTGCAATGGGTTGATAAACCATAAAAACAAATCAAGCAAAGAATATCATATATAAATTTCTATTTATGAGAACAGTGCTAGGCAAATGAATCACAAAGTGGAAACATTTTGGTGTAATGCATTTTGTCCTCTAGAAGTGAATTTAGTGGATACATGAGCTTGGAAAATTTGACACTTACAGGACAGTGATGGCAAGAGGGACAGAGACAAGCAGCCTAATAACCCTATGTAACAAGCTTGTGTAAAGGGAGTTTAGAAGGGATAGCAAAAAGACAAACTTTACTAAGGGCTATAAAAGACAGGAAGTTGTAGAGAGCCATGATTGCTCACATCCTGAATATACACAGCACACAGAAGAAGAAACCTATATCTGCTGGCCTGTGTACATGGTGCAATGGATAAATTGTCGCCATTTTATATTTTTAATTTCACACATGTGCATCGTTTGTTTTTGATTTTGTCAACTGCACAGTATAGTAAGGTCAGTTGAACGCTCTCTATGAAAAAAAGAGTACCATGATGCAATTCACTCCACCAGAAATTTGAAAACTGCATGCTGTACTGCTTGGCATTCATGCTGGAAGCTCCAATATGAACATTTTATAGTGTTTGGATATCAATCTTAGAACAGTGCAGAGGATTCAGAAAGAGTTAGAGGAGTCTAATGGTGATTACAAATGTGTTTGGAGTGATCACTAGTGATGGCCACATCATGCTTCCATTCATTTTCCCACAGGGACTCAGACAAATCAAGTGCTTTGAGGAGGTAGTGCTGCCCTGGGTCAAGAGTGACTGCTGGAAGACACTATGTATGACAACAGGACTCTGCACCATGCCACACAAACAAAAGATAAATTTCTGCGACAGCATCACCCCTTACATCTGGCCTCTTAACTCCCCAAACTGTGACCCCCCCCCACACTTTGATTATTAGATGTGGGGAGCAGTTGAGCGAGAGACCAACAAAACTTCTTGTAACATCAAAGATGAACTTATGGCACGGATTATAGCAGCATTCACCAACTTAAACAAGGAGACCATCCAGAAGAGTTGCAGGAGATTCCAAAGTCATCTGGAAGCTGTAATTGAAGCCTGTGGTGATTTTATTGAATAAATTTACTCTTTAGTATTTCAAGATATTTTTGTGTAATTTTGGTGAATATATCTGTTAAAATGAGATGTCATTGTTATTTTCATTTTTGCATAATTTAGACAACGAAAGTCTTAAACTCATGTATCCACTAAATATAAAGTTTAAAGTAATAAATAAATAATATATATATATATATATATATATATATATATATATATATATATATATAATGATAAAATTGAAATTCTCATCAAGCAGCAAGCATTTACAAACAATTTTACCTTATAAACCAAACAATGTATTTCTTATATCATAGAATGCCTTTAAAAGGTACAAACTATTAAACTGGTGTCAAGTGTGTTAATAGACATTTTTATGCTAACAATTTGTTAATATTTCACTCTTTCTATTTAATAGATTCTTCTAGTTGGAAGAAGTGGGTAATGCTAACTTTTTTTATTTCACATAACTGGCAGTGCTCCAATCACCTGCTCTGTACCTTTTTAATATTCCATTTTATCAGTAAATGTATGTTTTGTCTTTCTTTAACTTCCCATATGTATCTTGATATGGTAGTGTTATTTTCATACTTCTCTGAGTTGAATGATGTTTATAATTGTAGTACCTCTGTTTAAATAGCTTCTCAGTAAACCTGATGATGGTTTTATTTATTTATTTTTTTTTTCAGGGTGATTCTCAAATTTAACACTGGCTCTGTATATTATGTTTTTAATTTGACAGTTGTCATTTAGGGGCAATCTTTTGCTTTCCTGCAGTTACATTTTTTGTTCCTTTAATTATGTACCTACACTTCTCGTAATTGTGCAATGTGTACAAACAGATATATTCTTCATTTTCATGTCCCATGTCTTCTCAGGATGTAGGTGATCATGGCTTTTCACAATTTCCTGTCTTTTGTAGACTCTTAATAAATTTTGTCTTTTTGTTATTTCTCCAATCATCCATTCAGTCAAACTCACTAAGTATGTTAGGTATTGTTTTCCTCTGTCTCTCTTGCATTCAATCTGTCCTGTGAGTATCATATTTTTCCAAGCCTTCTTTTCTCATGATGTACCCTAGAAATTTCAACTGTCTCTTCCTGATGTTAAGTATAAGTTTCCTTTCTGTTTCTATTTTCTCTAGAACATTGTGGTTGCTCACATATTCAGTCCATGGTATCCTCATCACCCTTCTGTAGAAGTACAGACATAAATTCCTTGATAAAGCTTCTTTTTTAAAAATTTTAGATATATTTTTAGGTCTGTCATTGAATTAAGATATACATGGACACACCTAGACATACATAAACACACAATTTGAAGGAAATTGAAAAGGACATGGAAGTCATAAGAGTTAAT